TGTTAATAAAATGTGTTCTGTTCCAAAGTCTCTTCTTTTGAACGGTGAAAATTCGAACTCTCTAACCACATTTCATTCTCCAGATATTCAAATAAATGGTTACGGGCATTAAATTTTTAAAACGATAGTAACAGTTTGATTATATTTAGAAAAAAAAAGACTATTTTATATGTTTTGATACTTTTTTTCGTCAAGTGGTGAAACTAAATGAGAGATGTTTATTGTAAAAACTTTTTCCATGCAGAACTTAGAGTAGAGATTTCTTTATCTGTTTTGGAATGAACGGATTGAGTCAAAAACTTACGTTGAACCTATGGTTTGTTTATTCAACTTCTAAATTTCGTATTTTGTATTTGCTTTTTATACTAACAAGGAAAGTAACAGATTATTGGGTCTGAACGTAAATTATCTATGACTAACTCTACATTATTATAATCTTATCTCGAATTCAGTATTCATTTAGTTTTTTTAAGCTGCTTTATCCAAAAAGCAGTCTCTGCTTTGATTAGTTGTGTTTTCTACACTTTTCAATGATAATGTGCAATGCACAATAGAGACGTTTTTTGGATACAGTTTATTATCTTTTAGGCACACACGGTTTGACAACTTTAAGAATGGATAATGGAGAAAAATGCGTAATACCAAAACAAATACTCCAGTCTCAAAAAATTCATGCCATTTTGGAATATAAAAACCGCTGTGAAGAGGATGATTTCGAACCATTTGGAATTAGAAAATTATACGACATCCTGAATAGCATTAATCCATCCGAACAGAAAGTACTTTCTGGTCTTGATGAATTCGTAACTGAAGGCGTGGAGGCCTGGGATACACTGTCAGGCAGGATTCGTAACAGCATCTCACTAGAACTTTTTCAATTAATCTGAATTAATTTAACGCGAATATTAATTCAATAAATTAATTTAAATTATTTTTTAATCTCAAAAAAATAAGTTTGAAGTACGTCATTTTTATTTCAGGTATCGTTCACAAATTTGCAATACCGCAGAATGAACGAAAATGTTTGCAAAAACAAATTCAAGTAGCTGAAATGTATCAAAAGTCACGATATGCTGGACATTGTTCATTGACATCAGACTGTGTCACACATTGCATAACATTTGGTTTGAGTGATCCTTCAAGCCCAGATTTCGAAACTAAATGCCAATATTCACATACAACAAGTTGTTCGGATTATGTTAATATATTTAATGCATTAGATGAAATCGAAAAAAATAATAAAAGAGATAAATGATCGAGAAATGAGAACAGAAGCCGTGTACGATTTTGAAAATTCACGAGAACGTATAATTGAATGATTACGGCATCCAATGCGGGGGTTTGCCAAGATGCTGAAAAAACTGAAATTATTCAGCATTTATCTAATGATACGGCGTATAGCACGTTCCATTGGGGCCAGAAAATTTTACCACAAAAGTATCGTGAACCACAAAAAGATTATTTCGGAAAGTGCGGTACGTCCTTATTAGTGGGATCATTTGTTTGGAAAAACAATTCTGAGTGATGTCAATTGAAAGACTGCGATACAGAACTATGCAGACTATCAGAACTTTACAAAGAGACCCAGTACAGAAAGAGCACACCGAAGTTTAACTAAGACACCTATGAGAACATTGAGAACATTG